TCCTCTTCTGATAAGAACACCAGTCATATTGGATTAGGGCTACCCCAATGACCTCGTTTTAATTTAATTACTTCTTCCCTTCCCCATATACTGCTGCATTTTGAGGTACTGAGGGTTAGAGCTTTACCATGTGAATTTTGTTAAACAAAATGAGAAAACAATTCAGCCCATAACAGCTGCTTACCAAAATCTTTCCCAAAAGCATGGATTCTGGACTTCACTCTATTCACACTGACAATCACACCAGAAAGGTGGCTAGAGGGATACCATACCCAGGAATCTCTAGCTTTTTGGGCTCAGAATAATCCGTTTTTTACTGCACTCCAAGTCTTTCCCCTCATGGATTTATCCTTTGTCCACTGCCAGCGTCTATCCCAAATTCCTGCCTGACTTTCTTCGAAGGTAGAGGTTGTTAGACTACAGTTGTTCCTTCCTAAATTATTACTTCCTTTATTATTAAGGAGTTTTCTCATTTTAATATTATTTATATGGGGAGAAGGCCTTACAACCAGAGCAAGAATGGCAGGTCCCCAAACACCACCCCTGCCTATCTCTCAGCCCTACCTCCCACTTTCTACTTTGCCCTGTCTTCTCTGATTGCGCTGGGCCTTGGCTGTTACTCAAATTCACAAGCAGGTTCCCGCCACAAAGTCTTCAAACTTATGTTTCCCTGTGTATCCAGCACTCTTGCCCTAAATCACCACTGAATTCATTCTTTACTTCATTTGGTTCTCAGCTTAAATGTCACCTTCCCTGAGAGAAGTCGGACTACTCTATTTAACTAGAAAACCACCCATCCCTCCAAAAATACTTCCTGAAATTCTATTCTTGATCAGGCTGAGACCAGGGAGCAGAAAATCCACAGATACATGAGGCATAACCCCAGCCCTGCCCAGAGGATCTTACAGGCAGCTGCAAACATTGTGTTAGAGTGGTATAATGAGATATATATATATATATATATATATATATATATATATATATATATGATATATCTTATATATTTACTTAAAAAGTAAATACATAATACTATAATATATATAATACTATAATGAATAAGTCCAGCTGGGCGCCTGGTGGCTCACTCTTGTAATCCCAGCATTTTGGGAGGCTGAGACAGGTGGATCAGTTGAGGTCAGGAGTTCAAGACCAGCCTGGCCAACATGGTGAAAACCCATCTCTACTAAAAATACAAAAATTAACTGGGCATGGTGGTGCACACCTATAATCCCAGTTACTAGGGAGACTGAGATGGGAGAATCATTTGAACCCTGAAGGCAGAGGTTACAGTGAGCCTAGATCATGCCACTGCACTCCAGCCTGGGTGACAAGAATGAAACTCCATCTTAAAAAATAAAGCAATAAATAAAAATAATGACTAAGTTCCAGTAACAGACAACATTTGCTGGACACTTCATATTGAGCTAGCTGCATAGTCATGAAGGCCATCACACATCTTAGAGTAGAAAGGGAAAGAGAAGCAAAAAGGTGCAGAATAATAAGCAATTCTCACACTTCCCAAAGATGTCTGACAAACATCCACATCTGCCCAGCTAGAAACATACAGGAAGGAGGAATACTGAGCACTAAGAATTAGACACTGATACCTTGACCAACCTTCTTGCAGAACATTTTCTGTCTGGAAATTGGTCCAGGAACAGCCATGTGTTGGGAGCGGTCATTTACATAACTTAGTAATTAGATTTCTAGCATCCCAGGACCCTGTGTTAGCTTCCTATCATATGAGTCTCTGATACATTCTCGTAAATTGAGTATGATGGTTAATTTTATGTGTCAACTTGATTGGGTCACAGGGTGCCTAGACGTCTGGACAAATACCATTCTGCGTATGCCTGTGAAGATGTTTTTGGATGAGATTAACATTTAAATCGCTAGACAAGTAAAGCAGATTGCCCTCCCCTGTGTGTGTGGGCCTCACCAATCGATTGAAGATCTGAAGACAGCAAAAAGGCTGCGTAAGAAAGAGTATGTCCTGCGTGGCTGCTTAAGCTGGGACGTTGGTCTTCTCCTGCCCTTGGACAGGAATTTACATCATTGACTCTCCTAGGTCTCTAGCTTGCTGGCTTGTTGCAGATTGTGGAGGTTCTCAGCCACAAGTGAGCCAGTTCTTATGAATGAATGAATGAATCCTAGTGATTCTGTTCTCTGGAGAAAGCTAATACAGCAAGCATGGAATCTGATCTGACTTCTGTGGCTTCTGTGACCTATTCTTCACAGGGTTAGGGGTGGCTGACGAGGGTGACTCTGTGAGGCCACATAGGGAGCTACAAGGACTGCCAATGACAACAGCGGCCTCTACTGTGGGCACAATAAATAGCAGCCAGCCACTTCATGAGGTGACTACAACCCACTTCATGCAGGAACTGTTCCACACTATTTCATACCTATTGTACTTTGGAGAAGGAGCCCTAACCACATTTTACTGTGGAAGAAATCAGTCAGGTACTTGTCCAAGGTCTTGCAGACATATTCCTGGGACAAACTACCACTGAATATCCTAAGTCGAAGTGCTTAATGACTTCCCATAGCCCAGCAAGGAGCTCGACCTGATGGCCTGTCGGGCAGATTACCTGACATGCACTGACATGTGCAATCAGTGACTCAAAAGGAAATGAGGTAATAATGTTTAAAAATTGTGAAATTTCACAGGAAATTTGTATTCCCAGCTTCTCATGGAAAATAGGAAAATCTGGCAATTCTGCTCACAGTCTCCGCATGACAATGGTGGGCTACACACAAGTAAGGGCTGACCGTCTGGGCACAGTTTTGGATCCTCAGTTTGCCATGGACTCTAATGTCTCTCTCATCTGTTACTGTCTGGCCCCACAGGCTTTTTGTTTGTGTGTTTGTTTTGAGACAGACTCTCACTGTTGCCCAGGCTGGAGTGTATTGGCTCAATGTCAGCTCACTGCAACCTCCGTCTCCCAGGTCCAAATGATTCTCCTGTCTCGGCCTCTTGAGCAGCTGGGATTACAGGTGTGCATCATCACGCCCAGCTAATTTTTGTATTTTTAGTAGAGACAGGATTTGTATTTTAGTAGAGACATGTTGGCCAGGCTGGTCTCAAACTCCTGGCCTCAAGTGATCCGCTCATCTTGGCCTCCCCTTTAAAGTGCTGGGATTGCAGGTATGCGCCACCACACCTGGCCACCCTGCAGGCTTTTGAATTGACTACTCTTTTTCTTGCCTTCTCCCTCTTCATTTTAGCAATACTAAGATATTTCCCCCATGGTCTCTGAGAGCTTCTATGCTTTTTCCCGCTGTCCTCTTTGCCTGATAGAGGAAGAATAAATTAACTATTGCTGAATTAGACTGAAATCACATTTTCAAGCATGAAAGGATTTGGCTGGACAAAGCCATAGGATCAATGTAACATCATCCTCTGGATAGTTTCAGCCTATTTATTCAAAAGAAACCAAAGGGGTGGTGGAGTTTACTGTTATTATTAAAAGATGAACATTTCTGCTCTATATCTGTTGTTTCCCTCCAAGCAGAAGGAGCACCATCACAGTAACACAGCTGGGTTCTCCCAACTTTCACTTAACTCTCAGGGAAGATTGCATTTGGATGAATTTAAAAGAAAGACTTGGACATTCACAGCTCAGCCCTTTTGTCTCCCCTTTTTTGCTATGGGCTAATTTGCCTACAGAAGGCATATGTTTTATTTTGTCTCTGTTATGTGGTAAAAGGAATTTACCTCAGTTAAAAAAAAAAAAAAGGAAAGAAAGAAAACTGCAGGTTCTCAGCCCCAACTATGTCTAGGAGGGCAAGGCTGTGTGGTAGATTATTTGCTAAAATGGCCACAATTACTCCTTGCCCTGTATGCAGCCCTGTTAAATGCTCCATACCCCTTCTCGGGGCAGAGACCTGGGGGCAGAGTCGTGGGAGCGAGGAAGAGATCATGAGGTTTCTGGATATTACCTTTCATTTCTAACTTTATTTCTGCTTGGAGTGATTAGATTCTTCATGATGAAGAAGACAAGCTATTGTCTTTACCCATCCAACATTTGAGCTCTCCACAGATGAAGAACAATCCACCTTCACTCTGGAATCTGAAATGCCAAAATTTGCTTTTCCATCCTTCCCTGGAACAAGCTGGCCTTCCGCACTCCAGAACCTGAGACAAAAGTCTTCCCTGCCCAGAAATGTTCTGCCAGAAGGTTCACAGAATTTCTAAATGCCTTATTCATCATCAAAGCGTTACACTCCACATTGCTTCAGAACAAGAATCCTATTCTACAGTGAAAAAACGACAGACATTTAAGTCTATGGGATTCACTAATCTTGTCATATACCCTATGTCCCAAGCACTCATGGCCTTCTTCTACTACCTTAAAAGATGGAGTTGCAGTTATGCATATAAAATATGGTATATGACTATGAGCCAGATGGTAATATATAGGCTGTTTCTTCTATAGTCAGAGTACATTGCAGTCCATTACCACAACTCTGGACTTGAAGGGTTTAGGAAATTTAGTATCTAAGAGAAGAATGTTCCCTCTAGGACTCATAACACTGTTTTCTTTAAATGGAAAGCTGAGCTGCCACCTCCCTATGCAGGTTCTTTCACTGGAGGAGCAGGGAGAAATAAGAGTTAAGGTGTTGGTTGGGGTGATTATTTCTGTCAAGCTAAGAGAGGCAGCATTGATTACCCCATAATGGGTAATGGGAAGTCAAAGGCAACAGGAAATGTGTAGCAGAGAACTCACAAATGCGTAAACACCAAGCCCGACCTTATAAACAGTTACAGTTAATAGTTCTCAGCATCTGACACTTTTTCCTCATTGTCTTGCATGCACACGACTATATTGACTAATATTCTGCTTTCTTCTCCGTCCTGCTATGTTTTATAAGGTGGATGAGTGCTAGTTAACTTCAGCATTTACTTCCATGGAATGCAGAATTTTGAGACAGGATTGTGACTGGACTGGAATAAGAATAAGGAAGCTTCAGACACTCTAGACTTGGAGTGGAATTCAGCAACTTAAATGGCGTTGTGTTGGCTTCTTCATGGGAGATGAGAATATTTTCAGGTTTCTGAGGCATATTTGCATTGTATTAGGTGATATTTTTGTTGACTGATTTATTTTGTGGTTTTCTGCTGTTGACAGTGAAAATGTGGGAGAAACAAAGTGGATGTGCTGATGCTGCATAGTAAAATGGGTGCACATTTGTCATGATTTTCTGCTGTCCAGCATGTAAAGCCTCCTGTGTATGGAAAATCTACCTGGTAAGGCAGAACCCCTCCCCTGCTTGAATCTCGATATGCCATCTCTGTGCTTTCCCACCATTCTTACAGCTAGGTACTTGACCTCAACATTACCTACCAGGTTTAACCACACGAAACTTTGAATTAGAAAGTAGTGATGCAAAAGAAAAAAAGGGCAGGGCCTCTCTGAATCTCTGCTTGTAGTGGGAAGCAGCAGCTGTAGCAGCAGGCACCCCGAGTAACCAGAGGCAACAGGAGCAAGGTCCAGTGTCAGTGAACAGTGCTAGTGACAACTGTGTGTCCGTGTTACAAGCAGCAGCCTGGTAATGCTTCACAGGCCAGTCTCATGTAACTTGTCTATAGCTACTGAGCCAAAACCTCAGGCTTTCCTGACTGCTCTATGAGCTACCCAGTTATCGTGTCCTGAATTCCTTTTTGGCTCGAATCAGTCAGACTTGATTTCTATTGGATGAAATTTAGAACTCTGACTCATTCAAAACATGTATCTAATGACGATTAACTGAACTTTTATCATGTGGCAGGCACTAGGGGCTATTAGATGCCCCAGATACGAGAGTGAGCAAATGAAGATATGATTGCTGCCTACATGAAACTTATAAGCTAGAGATGGAGATATTAATAGAATAATAATGAAAATACATTTGATATAATTCTGTTGTCTTTTCCACATTTACAGTTCCTTGAAGTTCACGATATTACTTTCTCCTGGCACTAAAGTAAGAGGATTTAGATCGGAAGAAATGAGGCAAAATGTTATCCATGAGTAGGTGAGAGGTGAATTAGACATAACTAGTATTTTTTAAAATACTTTTCTGCATTTTACAGTTTCTTTTTAATTAGCATGCATGTCTTCTTAAAACATAATTTTCATTAGAGAGATTGGACTTTACTCTCCAGCTGGAATCACTGAAACCTGCAAAGACTTGTAGTTAATGCTATCAAAAACTGCTTTTCACTAGCCTATGTCATTATAACAGCAGTTAGAAACTGAAGTTGGTCTATGTGAGATTATACTAAATTTGTTAACATAATATGTCTCAACGTGATTTAGAAGATATGCTTTATTTTCTTGTTAGCACTATGATAAAACAAGTAAAGCAGGCCAGACTATATTAAGAACAATTTTATTGAATATTAGAATAAACTACCATGGAGAAAAACTAGTCTTAAAAGATTTGCAATTAAATTAGACCGTTTTGGATATGACTTATTAAATGTCTAGGCTCTGTCACCTGCTTAGTTATATAAAATTGTATTACTTTACCTCCATGGTGGGAGAACAGTCGTATCAACATCAGTGACACCTTTCTCACTTCTCTCCCTCCACAGCTCATTCTGCATGCTGTGCTTGTTTATCTGAGCCATCTAATGGTCCCTTATGCTCTGACTTTCCCATCCTACCAAGCTTGCCTGTAGTTGTGCCATTTAAAAGTCTACAAACTTCACTGTGGTTTTGGACAATTAGTTCAAAACTAAGTTTGGGAGCAAGGTGGGAAATTCCACTTACCACATATTATGAGTCCATAGGGTTTCCTTGGATCAACTAATCCCTTTGTTGGAAAATTAGATTCCTTTCCATTCATTTCCAAGAAGGCTATAGAAATAGCCTTCTGTTTCTGTTTCATTTAGAAACAAAGCTAGGGGTTTTGCCATGTTGGCCAGGCTGTTCTCAAACTCCTGGACCTCACGTGATCTGCCCCACTTGGCCTCCCAAAGTGCTGGGATCACAGGCATGAGCCACCACACCTGGCCTATCAATATTAATTGAAAGTATTTAGCCATAGAACTCTGTGTGATGAATGATCGCTTGCTGCATGATTCAGTCACACCAACTCTCCTAGCTTTGAAAATTATCTATTATTATGCTCTATTATCTATAATCTAAACAGATCTGTGATTTAGAGAGAGCCATTTTTTACTGACTTTAGGTTCATTGCCTGCACACACAATAACTTTTTGTTTAAATGCTGCATTCTAATGTGGTATTTTTGAACCAATTTAAGCAACAATTAGATTTGATTGAATTCAAATTTACATCAAAATTCAATCACATGTGACGACACCAGTGAAAATGACTGTTGGGACAATTTCCTGGATCTAGGGATGGTTGAGTTAGACAGTGACAGCTACAGTGCCAGGCTGCAGGAATTTATACCTTCCTTTCCGTAGCTGGTGAGTTTCGGCTGACAGCAAATGTCAGGTGTATTCTTATACCAGAAACATTTAAATGAGAAAAAAAAATGCATCTTAGAATTGAGCTAATATGGTGTTTTTATTTTATGACTTAACTCTTTGAGATCTGAGCATCTCTTGTTCTCACATTAGAAACCCCCATAGTAACGCACTGGCTCTCAGATGCTCCCATCACTTCCCTGTGACCTCAGTGCTTATTTCTGGATCTAGCAAGGCAGTTTGATTCATGCACTTGTCAAAAACATTGAGAACTTCTTTTGCTGGGCTAGGCCTAATTCTTGCTCTTTTAAAATAAATACCTTGTTAAAAATCTAGGACACAAAGAGACTTATGGTTCTCTAATCAAAACAATATGATACAACGACCAGAATTATCCATACTAGTTTCAGTCATCTGCTTGCAAAGTAGATTTTCTCATATTTCCAAGCAGGTCTACTACCTCTCTCCCTTATTTCATTAGATATAAATAGGATTTAGTTGCAACTGGGTTTCTGCTTTAAAGGTATAAATTGTTCTGGCTTTACTTCTAATAACTCCCTATCCCACCACCTCCTTCCCCTCTACCCCTGCCAATTCAAGGTAGACATAATTAGTAGTGATAATAACTAATTAGTAGTGATAAATAGCTAAATTTGAGTCAAATTTAATAACTATCCTACCCCCACTCGTCATTTAGAATAAATGACCATGCATTTATCTTTAATAAATGACTAGGTACATTAAAGATCAAGATGGAACAATGTATGGACAAAGATTTCTCATAGGAATGCACACATATTGCATGTACGAGTATTATAATATTTTAAAGTTTATTTTCTGAGAGAGACGAAGGTTGATATAATTAGAACGTGTTTGAAACAATAGTTACAGTTTGAAACCAATAGTCAACAGTCACAATTTCTTACTTCTGTCTTTTTCCCAAATGAGAGAAAAACAAACGATTACATGGTGATTGTAATTTAGCTTCGAGCCTTTAAAAGGAGACTCAATACAAAGCCTACTGGCATTTTTTAAGAAATTAGAAACAGATGGAAAGCATGATTCTTCCTCTGGAGGGTTTGACACTCTTTCTGCAAAACAGATTGGAAAAGAGACAATAATTGCCTCTAAATCCACCGAGTGGAAGGATGCGTCTCCTGTTGGGCCTTCTAATTTGCTCTTCAGATGACTTTGCACACTGTCTGTGGTGAAGATCTTGGGTTTGTGAACAGAGAGGGCTGAGTTCAAATTCCTGGGTCATAACCGACTCGTGTGACTTTGGGGAAACTAATCTCTCTGTGCCTCAATTTCCTCATGCTAAAACAATGTGTACACTTATGCTTATCCATTCAGAGTTTTGTGAGGATTATATCAGAAAATGTACTTAAGGTACTTAGCGTGATAGTTGGCACATACAAACAGCTTGCTAAATTACACCACCCGTGATTACTTTTATACGCTAGTAATTATTAGCGATAGTTACAGTAAAAACTAGTAGTAGTAATTGGGGGATACATAACTAACCACTCCCAAACTTAGTGGCTTAAAGTAACAGCGATTTCTTCAGCTAATGCTCCTGTGTGTTGACGATTTGAGCTGGTCTTAGGTGGATGTGGGTTTTGGCTAGGCTGAGTTTTGAATCTTTGTTTAGCTGGTAGACCAGCAGGGGTTGGCTGATATATGGTGGCCTCATCTGGAATGGTTAGGAGAATTGGGGCCTCTCTCTTTGAATAGAAAGACCAGGCTTCTTCACCCTTTCGAAGTCTTTGCTCACATAATGTTTCTCACTGTCTCTTTGGTCAAAGCAAGTTACAAGAATAACGCAGACTCGGGGATGAGGAAAGATCTGTCTCTTTGGGGGAGGAGTTTTTTTGTTTTTTGTTTTTGAGATTCCTCAAAATCAACTGCAAGAGTGTTGTAGCCAGAGGTAGAAAAAGGAAAGCCATTTTCCAATCTACCATGAAGACCTTTCCATACTTCGGTTGACCTATCTGTGTTTCTTGTCCTGATATTTTTTCCCCTTCCTCCCTCCCACTCTTCTGTTTATATTCCCACTCTTCCTCAAATATTTATTAAATAAAATATTCCATGTACAGGAGATACAGCAATAAATAAGATTTGATTCCCATTGTCATAAAAGTCTTGTAAAAGATCTCACTGCCTAGAATGCGACAATATTTAAGAGGTTTTTTTTCTTTCCTTTTTGCAGATCCCCTACACTCTGTGTTAAATGCTAAAGCTAGCTACGCTTTTAGTAAATAACAATGAGAGCTAATGCTTTCCTCTAATTGTTTAAAATGATAGTGTTTCTAAGGGTTTCCAGCTGCTTTGTCTGATTTAATCAAGAACTCTTAACCTGATTACCTCAAGATTTTGCTCCCTATCTATTTGCAATTCTCTTTATAAAGCAGAGGTGACTGAGACATTTGGCTCATGGTGTGATCTGAGTGTCTGTCTTGCACAATGTTCTGGATAGCACAGAAAAGGTCCAGTAATGATCTTCTGGATTAGAGGTTGTTAAAGGGTAAACTCGCTAGGCCTGGTAGCTCATGTCTGTAATCCCAGTGCTTTGGGAGGCCGAGGTGGGAAGATCACCTGAGGTCAGGCGCTCAAGACCAGCCTGATCAACGTGGTAAAACCCTGTCTCTACTAAAAATACAAAATTAGCTAGGCATGGTGGTGCATGCCTATAACTCCAGCTAATTGGGAGGTTGAGGCAGGATAGTTGCCTGAACCTGGGAGAAGGAGGTTGCAGTGAGCCAAGATTGCACCATTGTACTCCAGTCTGGGCAGTAAGAACAAAACTTCATCTCAAAAAAAGAAAAGTAAACTGAGGCATAATAAAAATTTTAAAGAGTTTATTTGCACAAACAGCAATGCATGAATAGGGCTGCTTGGGAACCACTTCTGAGGGAACGCCAGGGGAAGGCTTCTATAGAATGGACAGAGAAGTAAAGCAAAGCAAGTATTTGATTGATTATAATTATGTAGTCGCCATACTTGGTTTATTCCATTAGAAAGTCCCTGTTTATATACGTTTGCTGGTAACTTCTGAATGGTTGAGCTTAAGTTCTGTTTTTCTTGAATTTCAACATTTTTAATAAATAGCTCAAGATAAGTATTGCTTATGGGTGCAAATCAAGCAAGGCTTAGTTCACTTACTAGACCTAACTGGTTTTATCTGCTGAGGGATTCTTTAGACCCGGTCTGCATCTTCATTTACTTTAGCAAGACTTATCCTTTTCATATGTTTTCATAAGTGTTTCCAGTTCCTTTTGGGGGGAAACAGAATTCAAACTGAGGTTTTCTAAGTCTAAAGTCTGTGTTTTTTTATGCCTCATAAGAACTGGAAAGCCCTCAGTTACAATTAATCAATGGTAAAATGAAATGGAATGAAATGAAACAAAAAGGGCATATTATTGATCTATAGTGAGAAAGAAAAACTAAGCAATGAGAACATCCAATTGCATCATTATGACTTTTTTGGAATAAGCTTTTAGGAGGAGTAAATGTATAGCCTGATTAGTTCTTTCCTATAAACTGTAAATTGGCTGGCAATTACCTTTGAAGCACTAAAATGCATGCTAATTAAAAATGAATTATCTCAGTGCAGGATTTAGAAATTGGAACAAATACTGGACTAAACTGGAAACAGAGCTATTTTGGACAATTTGAGCTGAAAGCTGATGCTCTAATAGGATGTCAACAATGACCTTTCTAATATTACTTTGACCTCTTACTTTCTGAGAAGGAATAAAAGAAGGGACAAAGAACTTCTATTTTAATGGCATGTATTCTGAAAATGTGCCAGAAAACATAAAAAAAGAAAGTACTCTCCTCTTTAAATGCTAGTGAATGTCTTTCCTGATTTGAACTCAACATTGGCTTTTGAAGAGTTTAAACAAAATAAACAGGTACTATTAGTGATGATTAATATATAGGTCATGAGGTAACAAATATTCCAGTCCTGACTCTTGTTCTTATAAATAAGGACAAGTTAACGTCCACATTACCTTGGTTCTTTACCCCACCTGGACATGCAGGCCTTAGAAGCCCTTCCTAGAATCCACCCCAGTTATTGAGAATCCCCGCTACCTGCTATGTACCACAAAAAGCACTACGGCCCTTCAGAGACAGGATGGAGGTATGCAAATTAGCTCTGGGATCTTGAAAGTGGCACCTAAAAGCCAACTTAGAGGTCTTGGAAGGTCTTTTTGGACTTAGTGATATTTGAAAATAATTTGTTCCTTTTTTTTTTTAAGTCAGTTGCAAAGACTGCAGCAATCACACACCTTATTCATTGCATACTTTCTGTTCAAAGTCCTTTTTTTGTTATTTTTTTCCCCATATTTCCCTATTCTCATTCCCTTTCCCCTCATCTGCTTATGTATAATTGTTAAAATCCATGTTTTCTGGCTGAGCACAGTGGCTAATGCCTGTAATACCAGCACTTTGGGAGGCCTAGGCAGGCAGATCACGAGGTCAGGAGTTCAAGACCAGCCTGGCCAACATGGTGAAACCCCATCTCTACTAAAAAAAAATACAAAAACTGCTGGGTGTGGTGGCCAGAGCCTGTAATCTCAGCTACCTGGAAGTTTGAGGCAGGAGACTCACTTGAACCTGGGAGGGAGAGGTTGCAGTGAGCCAAGATTGTGCCATTGCACTCCAGCTGGGGTGACAAGAGCAAGACTCCATCTCAAAAAGAAAACATGTTTTCTATGTACATGTTTTTTATTTTAAAAAGACAATGACACAAATAGCACTGTGATATAAATACTGATGCTTCTTAATTCAGCATTTTTTTTTTTTTTTGAGATGGATTTCACTCTTGTTGCCCAGGCTGGAGTGCAGTGGTCTTGGCTCACTGCAACTTCCGCCTCCCGGGTTCAAGTAATTCTCCTGCCTCAGCCTCCCAAGTAGCTGGGATTACAGGCACCCACCACCACACCTAGCTAATTTTCGCAATTTTAGTAAAGACAGGGCTTCACCATGTTGGCCAGGCTGGTTTTGAACTCCTGAGCTCAAGTAATCTGCCTGCCTCGGCCTCCCAAAGTGCTGGGATTACTGGCATGGGCCACCGCACCCGGCCAGGTCTGCATTTTTAAGATCAATCCATATTGCTGATACGCACCCACAGTACATATGAATCTACCCTGTTCTGCAAGTGACAAACACCTAGGTGGCCTCCAACTCCCCATTACCATGAACAAAACTTCAGTGAATCTTTTTATGCATGTTCCTTATGGACCCTGGTGAGAAATTTTCCAGGATATATACCCAGAAGATGATCTCCAGGTCATAGGGCATACTTACTTACACCGAACACTCACAGGGAGTTTGGAAGTTAGCTAGAAGAGGGGAGAGGAAAGCCCACTCTAGCAGGGCAAAGAGCGTGGGCAAAAGAATGGAAGAGTGCTACAGCAGAGTGGTTTCTGAGAATTGTACACTCATTAGGGCCAGGGAAAGCAGAGCATAAGTTGTCATGTGGGGGAACTGAAGAGCTCTCAATGTCAGGCCTTGAAAGGCTTCCTGTGCTAAACTAAGGGAATTGAATTGTAGATTGAACACTCTACTGAGCCATAGACAAGTGTTAGCAGGTGAGAGGTCATAGTCATTTGCATTTCTACAAAGGAATAACTGAGGCTGGGAAATTTGTAAGGAAAAGATCTTCATTTGGGCCACAGTTCTGCAAACTGTATAAGAAGCATGGTGCCAGTGTCTCCTTCCAGCAAGGGCTTCAGGGAGTTTCTACTCATGGTGGAAGTGGGTGGGAAGCAGGCATCACCCAGGTGTGAGAGAGGGGAAGGAGGTACCAGAAATTTTTTAGCAATCGGATTGTGCAGGAACTAACAGAGAACTTATTCATTACCTTAAGGAAGGCACCAAATTGTCTATAACGGATCCATCCCACATCTCCCACACATCTTCCACCTAGGTCCCATCTCCAATTTGGGGGATCAAATTTCAGTATGAGATTTGGAGGGAACAAACATCCAAATCATATCAGAGTTATCATTAGATTTGCATGTTAGAAAGGGCACTCTGCCTGCCCTGCACCCTGGCAAAAGCATCACCTCCAACACTGAGCTCAAACACGAAAGTGGCCCAAACACCAAGGCAGTGCATCCCCTCTTAAAGGGATCTGGTGGCTGGTCTCCATGTCTACCACACACAGTGTGCAGGACAAGAGCTGAGCAGTGTGGGCATCAAGTGAGATGGCTAAATCCCAGTTCCTGCCAGCCCAGACTGGGCTCTAAGAGAGGAGCACTGACACAGGGGGATAGACAGGGGAAGGGTGTTTGCAAAAGGGGACAGAAAGAGTGGGCCAGGGGGGGCTAACCCTCCTAGACCAAGTACCAAAGATGATGGCAGACTCACTGCTTTCAGAAGTAGGAGGTGGGGGGCCGGGCATGGTGGCTCACACCTGTAATCCCAGCACTTTGGGAGGCCAAGGCAGGCAGAACACTTGAGGCCAGGAGTTTGAGACCAGCCTGGCCAACATGGCAAAACCACATCTCTACTAAAAATACAAAAATTAGCCAGGTGTGGTGGCATACACCTGTTGTTCCAGTTCTTCGGACGCTGAGGTGGGAGAATTGTTTGAACCTAGGAGGCACAGGCTGCAGTGAGCTGAGATTGCATCACTGCACTCCAGCCTGGGTGACAGTGAGACTGTGTCTCAAAAAAACAAAAAGGAAGTGGGGGCTGACTGGAGGGATCTACTGGCAGAACTCTGATCCAGACGATAGGATAGAGAACGGGTAGGGGTATAAGAGAACGGGTAGGGGTATGGTAACATTGCTACCTAAATCCTATGTGCACAAACGAGGAAAAAAAATGCTGGTACTGTATATATAACTGAAACATGATGACACCATTATTTCTGACATTCAGTTGTCCTTCCTCAGAATCTTTGGCTGCTGATTTTATTTCTGGCAACAATACAAAACCAAACGACCAAGAGGATTAAAAAAGAAAAAAAACAAAACAGTCTGCACAGGACAATTCCAGGGCCTTTGGGATCTGCATCTTTTTCAAGGTAATGTAAGCAGGGATGTCTGTCCTTTTGGAGTCGTGTCTTCCCTTGGCTCCTGGGGCACTGTACCCTCTAGATCTCATCTCTCTCTGTGCCTTCACTGGCTCCACATCCTCCCTCAAAGGGCTCTCTCTGACACCCAGCGTCAGCTCCTGTCCCAGGGCCAAAGATTTCCAAATCTCCCACCCTAAGATCCCTCAGCCCACCTTCATCCTGGCTTGCCCAGCTGCCTTCAGATTTATTCACTCAGATGTCTCCCTCTGATGTCACCTCAAGCTCAGTATGTCAAGGAGAAACTCATACGTTCTTCACATCCCTTCCCTAAAACAGCATTTCTTCCTGACTCGTCTACTGCTCTCCAGCACCACCACTTTCCTTGTTCCAACCTTGGAGTTACATAACTAACAGATGCCTCTCTATTGCTCCCAAGTCAGCAGCCAACAAATCCCAGGGATTCTTTTTCTACAGTAAGATTCGGCTCTTTCTTTTCCTACTGCCACCGGCAAGACTAACCACCTAACATTCTCTTCTGTATTGAAGCCTTCCAATTTGGCTGCCTACCTCCACGGTTTCTCTACCACACCATTCCCCCTGCAGAGCTGTGCTTCTGATAATTTAATGCAAATCACAGAACAGTTTCTTAAAAGACATTCCAAGGTTGAATGTAAAGTTATTAACTAGTTTTGTTTACTTGTTTTTGTTTTCATACTGTTGAATAAAATACTTTATTTATCTAGTTATGACTTAATATACTCTGGCCCCCAACTGTGTGCCAGGCAAGGATACATAAATGTGAACAGAATATGGCTTTTGCCAATTTCTGAAAAGCATATAGGCCCATGGTAAAACACAAGCACTCATGACAGTTTATTTAGGACGCAGTGTGGAAAGTGCTGTAGCAGAGAGGAATCAAGATAACACCAAAGTCTTGGGGAGAAAGCTAGGAGCAGGAAAGACTTTATAGATGATAAAATAGGCAACAGTGCATTGAAACATAAGTGAGTGTTGGCCAAGCACTTGGTAGTTTGGTCTTTACTGTTAGCAAGGGACAGTTTCTCTCTCTCTCTTTTTTTTTTTGGAGACAGAGTCTTGCTCTGTCGCCCAGGCTGGAGTGCAGTGGTGCGATCTCAGGTCCCTGCAACCTCTAACTCCTGGGTTCAAGAGATTCTCCTGCCTCAGCCTCCCAAGTAGCTGAGTGAGATTACAGGCATGCGCCACCATGCCCGGCTAATATTTGTATTGTCAGTAGAGACGGGTTTCACCGTATTGGCCAGTCTGGTCTCCAACTCCTGACCTCAGGTGATCCACCCTCTGCCCGCTTCGGCCTCCCAAAGTGTTAGGATTACAGGCGTGAGCCACCGTGCCTGGCTGGACAGTCTCTTTTATAGGTACAGTACACACTCTCCTCTTCCCAGAGGCTATGACTCACTCTAAATTACCGTCTGCCCTCTCTCCAGCCTCTTTCAGTCTCCCTAGGTCTCTGCTAATTCAAATTCTGCTTTCTTCCAAGTCCACCTGGAGTCAAGACTAATTTCTCCTCAGCGCTTCCTGGCTCTGATGGTCATCTTCTCCTCCCAGTACTGCACAATATCATTTCTTAATCAGAAAGTTAGCACTACCTTTTAGGACAAAGGTTCTCAAAATTAAAATTGTATTTAAATCATCTGCATATGTGTTTGTAGGTTTGGCTCAGCACCTAGGAATCTGCTTTTCAACAGATCCCCAGGGGATCCAGGCACAAAGGATCCTGGTCCACTTTGACCCACTTTGAGGAACGCTGTGTTAGATCTCTGGGGTCAGCTTTTATTTCTCCATCTGGGCTGTCCGCAGCGCACCGCACCTAGCAAAATGTACATGCATTGCTCAGCGTTCTGGCTCCCGGTGTCTGCTCAGCTTGGTGACTGTTAGATACTTCAATATTTGATGACACCCAGAGTCAAGAAGAGTAGCTCAGCCAAGTGCACAGAGATGCCCTCTCCAGAGGAGACTAACTCCTGAGGGGTTAGGTCGCTCTGAAAGTCACCAGAAGAACAGAAGGAAATTACATTTTCTGTCCTCTCAGAAAATGAGTAGTCATCACCCCAAATGACCTTAGTGCGACTCAAATAAACCATGTTTTCAGATTAGGCAAAACGCACTGCAAGTTAAACCGACAGCAAAAGAAAAAGCCCACAGATATTCCGTGCGTTCAAAGCCATCATCCTCGCAAACGCAGAGTGATGCACCCCAACAGAGAGCAAGGAAAACGAATGACACGCAGGTCACCAGGCTTCGAAAACACAAGGCGGCCGAAGGTGTTCTCTACGTGGCCGTCCCCAGCCACCCACTCCACCCGCGCGGCAAGCGATCCTGGGCCAACCCCGGCCGTCCGCGGGGGTGGGGCCGGGACGGCGGCGGCGCGCTGACGTCATGGGCGTGGGTCGTCCGTCGCGTCGCCCGGCGGGGAGCGGGCTGGCGGTGGTAGCTGTCGCCCCCTGGGTTGCGTGACCGCGGGGTCTGCGACCTCTCCCTCCGCCCTTCGCCTCGTCCGGGCCTCTGCAGCCCGGCAACGGCCGTCATGGTGCCGTCGGCACACCTTGCGCGGCCCCGCTGAGCCTCGGTGTGGCGGCGAGCGCGGTCGAGGTCGCCATGCCTACCCGTGAGTGGCTGGCCGAGGGCCGGGCCGGGCCGGGCCGGGGGCGTTGGGAGGCGGCTGCCGGCTCTGCGCGCTTGGGGGCCGGGTCGTCCTCCCGGGGCGGCTGGGGAGGCCGGGCTGCACTTAGCAGAGCCAGGAACTGCCTGCGAGCGGCGGAGTTAGTTTCGTTTCGGCTTAGCCTTCCGGGGATGGCGTGAGCCCGTTGCACGGATGGGGAAACTGAGGCCCGAACGTTAAGGGAACTGCTGGGACGCGCTGTGAGGAGGCGGCAGGGCTGGTGGTAACCCAGACCCGTGGGATTTCAAAGTTAAGGCCCTTTTCCCAGCCCGCCACACGGCTTCGTGGGACTTTATGGAAATACTGAAAATAACTGCGGTGCGCTTGTCAGTCCCTCCTCACCTCAGGGGCTGGACGTCGCTGGTGGACGCGCTGGCCCCGATCCCCTTCCCGCGGCCTCCCGACCCCCGACAGCCTAACTCGGCGTCCGTTTCGCGGCCCGGGCGGCTAAAGTCGGGAGCGTGTTAGGCGGAGGCGCCTCGAGAGTGGCTTTTGGACCACACTTTGAATTCACCCGGGCAGATGGTTAAAAATGCCGGCTTGGGGTCCCTCTCTTGCTCGCTGGGATTAGAGTCTGGAGGTTGGGTCCCGGAGTCTGCATATCTAATTGGCGTCCCTGGGGTTACCAAGGGACCCCCAAAGCTTAAAAGTCACTCGGTGTTGGAGGATTTTTAGACAGATGAGATACAAATACTACTAATGACCTATTTTAAAGTGACCCAGATAATCGCAATGTGACTTTATACCCACTCGTCGATATGGATATATGCAAACTAGGGAAGCTCCTGATCCTGGGTAGAGAGGAAGCAACATGGCATTGATTTGAGAATTCTTTTCAAGTAGGACTCTTTTGAGTAAGTATTCAATGCCATAGAATTTTTACACACTCGTGAATATATTTCCTAGAATTCATAACTACTTCTAGTTGTCCTTATTTTTGTAGCCATGTGGGACACTGAATTTTCAGGTCAGCCCCAAACGCACGTTTTGCTAGTGATGGGAAAAAGAGTTATTTCTCAGTATTAGAAAGATTGATCTTTTCTTGATATTTAAGGATATTAAATTTAAATCGATATTAAAGATATTTAAATATCTTCTTAAGATTTATTGATTTCCTGTGGCAAATTTTTAAATAGTCCTGATGTAAAGATTACTTTTAACTCCTCATACTTGTGTGGGTACTATGGATTGTGTTTTCTTTACACACTACTGTGTGTCCTTAGCTCATGCTCTTGGACTTCATATCCAGTAAATATGTCCAGTTTATAGTTCTGTTTTATTCCTTCTGGCTGGAGGAATATTTACAATCATCTTCATTGTTATTATGGCCGGTTTGTTACTTCTAAATTCATGTTCACGTTATTCAGTGAATATTTCGGATTGGCACTGTGTTAACCTTTTATTTTCTGAGAAAGCAAAGAGGAGAAAGTAAGCACCTATTCTTGAAAGTTGAGGCTTCAAGTGGAATTTATTGGTAGCATGCCCAAATTACAATCCTATGCAATAAAATGTTTAATTCTGTTCTAGGGTTATCTAGCTTCACAGAGTGGATATAGTAAACTTCCTTCTTTTCAGGTGTTTACTCTGCAAAATGATTTTAGGCTGGGCCATGGTGGAGTTTGCATAGTGAAAATGCAGATTTCACACCCTGACTGGAAGACAAATGAAATGTTTGTTTTATCTTTCATTGTTGGCAATATTTGTCACTTTTTATGACTGAAAAAAAGCGTGCTGCGGATTGATTGGGGGTACCAGTGTAAGGTGAGTAGTGTTCATATTTGCCTTTTGTCTCCTTTGGCGGTCACAGCTGCCAAAATTGCTGGGATAGTGCAGTGGACAATAATATTTCTCTGAAATTCTGTTTGTCAAATATGTATCCAACACAGAGATGGCAAAATTGTCACTCTCCTTAGGAGTTTAGGAGGAAATTCACGGCTTTTAGGAAGAAAACTGCTCAAATAAGCTAAGTGTTTCTGTTTGGTTGGTTGGTTGTCTTAATGTTAAGTGGCTGAGAGGCTCAGTGATAAGCCCAAACCAGTTAATCCATCTGAGTTTTCATTAAAATCAGGTTTGGAGGTGATCACTGTGGTCTCTCAGATCCTGCAGTTCTGAGAGCAACCCTTGGCTGTAAGTCACAGAATTATTCTACTCTTGCTATTTTGTTGCTTATTTGGAATGTTGATACTCAGTCATTGAAACTGTTGTTAATAAGTAGAATCCAGTGGAGCATGCAGTAACCCCACTGGCTAAGCAATGATATATCTCATGAATATTAATAGCCACTTCACTGGAATTATTTTGGAGATCCATAGACTCTTTGAGAAAGCAATCACCTGGAAGGCTGCCTGACAGGAAACTGCGAGGACACAGGAACAATTTTGTGCGCCTGTTACAAGCCTGTAGTCTGAAACAGTCAGCCCTTAGGCACAGATTTCAAGACTATGTCACCGAATGAGTGAACCTATAATTTGACACATCATTTTTCTAGAGGCCTTTATTTCATTCTCCATTCAAAGGACCATTCAGCAGTATTTCATTTAAAAAATTTTCAAACTCTGAATCATAATTCGAGTTGGAAGGACTGTTAAAGCTTCTTAAGCATTTTATTTTGTGTATTGGGAAGCTGAGCCTTCTGTGAGTTTCCGTGGAATAAAACCATGACTTGAACGCAGAACTGGCCCTTATAATCAGTAACCACAGTGAGCAGAGTAACATTCATTTTTCTCTAGCACTAAATCAAAAATAGTTTAGTTACGTTTTTTTCCCCTTCAGTTACATTAAGACAAATGTAAGCTTGGTCAAAATTTAAATTGTTCTGTGAACTTAGAAGAATGCCTTTGCTTCCATCTTGTCACAGAAATCTTTGGAAGAACTGTGGATTACACTGGTGTGCTAAGTAGATTCTTGTTTATATAGCCACAAACTTAAACTTTTAGTAAACTTGTTATGTGAAAGTGGCTCCTGAGTTCACAGGTAACTTGCCTCAAAGCAGGTCCAATAAAATCTGCTCTTTTATTTTATATGAGAGGTTATCCTGTATTTGCTAGGGAAAACCAAAGTTCTCAAACACTGCTATTAAACTATGCTTGCATGAATTATGTGTGGTTAATGCTTTCTTTTCTCATTTAGTTACTGACATTGATGTCTAGGCAGATTTCTGAGGCTGTAGTAATAATATGGTTACTCCATGTTTGTTTTTTTGGTGAGGCTAATTGCATTTAACTTATTTTTTAATTCATTCTTATGAAAGAAGTGCAGAATGAATTGTAAAAGAGGGATGCTGACTGAAGTGTTTTCCTTTTAGAGACACATTACATGCAAACTTGACCTACCTTCTTTCATATGACTGGATTATTAGCCTTTTGTGTTCATTCATATTCACATTCTTTCTCTTCCTTTTTCTCTTCTTTTCCCCTTTCCTCAATGGCTCCTTGCTTCCTTCCACCCCCAATCTCCTTCCTTCCGTGCCTTCCTCCTTTATTCTCTACCTACCACCTAGGTGTCCTGCCAGAGTTGTAGCTGATGACTTTTCGTGTTTTCAGTGACCTGTGGCTTGACACTACCCTTTGCTGCCCAGATCTCATCTTTTGGTCTGTCCCCACTTGGGGAGGGGGAGACATGGGGCTGCATTGAAGATTATGTAGGTGGTAGGAGATAATGCTGGAGAGAGAGAAAGCCAGAATTTGAGCATTTTTATATGCTCTTACAATCACAGTTACAGCGGCTATTTTATAGGCTTGGCAGCGGTTTCCAACTTATTGATTACTTTATGAAGTTTTCTATTAGTACTAGGAATTAATTATTGACTACTGATTGCGTACTAGGCAGTATACTTTTTACTTTACCTGAACTATGTTATTTAACTCTTGTACTTTGTGGGAGGCCCTATTTGACCTGCTTTAGAAGATAGAGAGATTGAAGTTCAGAAAAGTTACATTTCTAATGAGAGTAAGTGGTAGAGCTGGGATTGGAACTAGATGGGCCTGACCTCTAAGTCCCAGCTCTTTTTTCATACTCTAGTGCTCTGAGCTAGGCAGGAGCTGAATGGGATCCCATCAGTTTAACACTGTCACTTTTGATTAACACCGTGCCTGGTTACATAGTAGGTGCTTGGTAAATGTTGAATAAATGGATAATTGAATGTTTAAAAAATTTTTAAATTGATACATAATATTTTCACATATTTATGGAGTAGGGTACATGTGATATTTCGTTAAATTCGTACAACGTATAATAATCAGGTCACGGTATTTAGGGTATCCATTTCAGTGTTTATCATTTCTATGTGTTGGGGAAATTTCAAGTCCTCTCCTCTAGCTACTTTGAAATATACAGTACATTGTCGTTAATTATAATCGTCCTACTCTGTTATCAGTCATTAGAACTTATTCCTTCTAACTCTATGTTTTTACCTATTAACCAACCTCTCTCATCTTCCAGGCTCCTCCCCGCCCCCCCACCCCCACCCTCCTACCTCCCCCCACCCTTCTGGCTTGTATGTAGAATGGATTGAATCGTAACTGGAGTCAGATTAAGTCATTCTTTGGGTACCATAACCGGAACTATTTTTTTTCATAAAGATAGTGTCATACAAGTTTTGTAATTTGGCCAGGCGTGGTAGCTCACACCTGTGATCCTAGCACTTTGGGAGCCCAAGAAGACAGGATCACTTGTGGCCAAAAGTTCTAGACCAGCCTGGGCAACATAGACTCCATCTCTACAAAAAAATTAAAATTAGCCAGGTATGGTGGTACATGCCTGTAGTCCTGGCTATTTGAAGGCTGAGGCAGGTGGATGGTTTAAGCTCAGGAGGCTGAGGCTGCAGTGAGCTGTGATCTCACCACTACATTCTAGCCTGAGCGACAGAGTAAGATGCTGTTTCTAAAAAGGAAGAAAATATATGTATATATAGTTTATGATTGGGTTCTTCTCTGCAGGCCTGTCTGTACCATAGACAAGGCCTGACGTCTGAGACAAGAATACAAATGGAGGTCTTCAAATCATAGGCTAAATCAGGGGTTTTCAGTCTTTACACTATTAATGTCTGGGACAGGTGTAGGGGTGACAGGGGCTTTTTTATGCATTTTGGGACATTAACAGCATCCTTGGCTTCTACCAACTGGAAGCCAGGAGTAACCCTCCTGCCCCAAGCTTGTGACAACTAAAAGTGTCTCTAGGCATTGCCAAATGTCCTCTGGGAGACAAATTTGTCCCTGGTTGAGAACCACTGGTCTAAATATTTAAATGTTATAGACCATACTGTGCCCGCAGCCTGGCCTGCTTTTTCATGCAAGGTCCCCAGCCTGCTCCCCAGAGATTGCCTTCTCAATCCAGAGATTCAAGTAGCCTGCAGGCTTGATCCAGTCAGTAGCAGTCTATTGGGGTACACCAGGGTCTTGCCGGACCCTGGCCTGGGATTGACTGTCAGTTTCCTTCAGGGAGCCAAGGTGGGCAGATTCCCCTCCTTCAATACTGTACTTTTCCATCTCAGAATTTCTAAACAGCTCTAAGCAACTCCCAGAACTATACTAGCTGAGTAGCTGGACAGATAGAAGGTGGAAGCCCAGCTTTCTGGGGAACTCAGTCTACCTAAACTCTGACTTTGGGTGACACGGAATGGGCAACTTGAAGCAAAAACAGCTGCAGCACTCTTTCTCTGGTTTTTCGAGATGGAGTCTCACTCTGTAGCCCAAGCTGGAGTGCAGTGGCGCAATCTCGGCTCACTACAACCTCTGCCTCCCGGACTCAAGCTATTCTCCTGCCTCAGCCTCCCAAGTAGCTGGAACTACAGGCCTGTGCCACCATGCCTGGTCAGTTTTTTTGTATTTTAGTAGAGACAGGGTTTCACCATGTTGCCCAGGATGGTCTCGAACTCCTGAGCTTGGGTGATCTGCCCGCCTCAGCCTCTTAAAGTACTGGAATTACAGGCACTGTGCCCAGCCTTACTCTGGTTTTCTAGGGCAGTGATTTTCAGTTATCACTACCCGGTGCACTGTCCCACCCACACATACCCCTCTAAAGGGAGACATAGTTCTCTGTGTTTTGCAAGGCAAGGCAGAGCCTCTATTTTTCCATGGGTCAAATGAAGATACTTATTTTTAGGATAAAACCACATTTTACTCATTACATGGCTCAACTCTGGTGTTGAATGATCCAGTTATCATTTGCAGTGTTTCTGTAGTGGTGGGATGGATTTCAGTGAATGAATCTGATTCTTTGTAAGCAAACAGATTCGCCTATTATTTTTTGCTCTTTAGAGATATTAGCATGATTCTAATCTTTATTAAAGAAAGAATCACTAAGATATTTTCTCTGTACCTCTGAATCATACAGTGTTTCTGTATGGATACCAGTTCCATTACAGGCTCTCTTATATGTCAGGGACCATCTCTTCTGGAGGAGCCCCTGTAGGAAGTGAGCACCCCTTCATCCTATAGTGGGAGTAGGGAGTTTTTTATTGGTACCACTGAGGGAAACAGGTCCCACATATTCTCAGAAATAAAGAGGAGGGCACAGAGAATGCCATTGTATTCCCCAGCTGCTTCAGGGAAGAGAGCGTAGACCAGAAGATAGGACATGAGCTGTTTGTCTAGGTTAAGGGGTCTTTTTGCTAGATGAATTGAACCTGTTGAGAATCTGATGAAAGCCATGATTATTCTTCCCCAGAAAAATGCATGTTATCACCCAAAGTTGCATGTAATTTGAAGCAATTCAAAGGCATATGAAGATGGAAAAATGAAGTGAATCACCGTATTGGCAGT